TCATCATCATCATCACGATCGCCATCTCACCATAATATAAAAACGTAATTATTCATCATCACCATCATAACCGCGATCATTACCATAATCGCCCAATATTCACATCACCATCATCTTCATCGTCATCACCACAACCATGGCCATCATCATCATCATCACCATCATCATCATCATCATGCCTTTTGGGCTGCTTTCTTATCTTCCACAGGCCCAAGACTGCCTGGACTGGCACATCATCTGCGCTGGCCGCGCCGCAGAGTGCCATCCTGCGTTCGTCATCGGCTTTCAAATGTGTAATGAGAGAAGCAGGCCGCTCGCTGTTCACATCACGTGGAGGCCAGACACATGATACGGTGATACCGACTATACATATGAGATGGGGCCTAAGGCTGAAGGCTCGCTCGGCAGCCAAGAGGCGCGATCAGCAGAAGCTGGACGACCAAGATCACGAAGAAGCCCGACTGCTGCAGCACGAAGACCTGAGAGTTTGCTTTTGGCCCCACGCCCAGCAGCAGCTTTGGGTGCAGGGGGCCTAGGCCTAGATTATCGGAAGAGTTGCGTGGGGCTTTGATCTACTTATCTTCAGGCCGCTCATGACAAGTGCAGGACAGTCTCAAAACGAGCAGGACCCCCCTCAAGCCAGAATATTTGCTCGGAGTTCTACTTCGACAGGGCACTGAAGAGTCATGCTCGTAGAGCTCCTTCAGCCTCTGCGCTCGCAAGAGCTTCCAGGGCTCACGTTCATGAGCTTCTGAGGCAAATTGGGCGAAGATTGCAGGTTCGAGCTAGATAAAGGCTTATCGGGAGGTCGAAATGGCGGGTTTTACTGATCACCCCGCTCCTTTAGACCCTGTCAGAAGGAGTGGATCCCTAGACACTACCCAGAGCCGGTCCAGGTGCACACTAAACTGAAAGGCAAGCCGAGGTGCGGATCCCGCTGCGTCACGGCGACGAAACCGGCCGCCAATGCGGAAATGCAAAACTGAGTTCACGGCAGGGCTTAGAGCTTAGAGCCTCATCCGAGATTTTCGACGCCTAATCAGTACAGGAGCTTTTGTAATCGGGTTGCAGGAGCGAGCGTGTACCTACACATGCCAAAAAACGAAACAGTTGAAGCAACAGGTGCATAAAATTCCGCACTCAAAAACTTGAGGGAGCTGCAAATCCTAAACCCCAAACTGGAGAAGCCCGGTTGCCAGATAGAAAGAGGTCGCAAGCCTGGGATCCCAGTACGCTCGCGGTTCGGGAGGGGCTGGGCTTCTGAGGTTTGGACAGTTCGGACAGGTGCAGAGGGTCGGCAACCCCAGGACAAAGTCCCTGATTCCTGGGAAGTTGTTGGGGGCGTCCCCTCTATCGACCCGGCAAGCAGCAGGAGCTCCCGGAGCTTGCAAACCTTGGAAGCAGTCGAGGAGCGGAGCGGCATGAGGGATAGAATGGATAGAAGAAGGCTTGGGGCCTCAGGGGTTTCCCTTCCGCCAAGAGAACGACCGGAACGACCGGACCGAGAGCTCCTGGGAAAAAAAAACTGAAGCCTCGAGCAGGGTTTCCTCTCCAGTGCTTCGAGCAAGGAGCCCATTCGAGCGCGTAGGAGAGCATCAGGCCTGCCAGCACACAAGTTGCACTTCCACGCAGAGGTGCTCCACGGCATCCAGCAACACGTCCCCAGACTCCCAAGACGTTCAACGCCCCAGACGAACACCCCCGGCCTACCGGGCAGCAGATCATGCCTCTGGCGGGAGTGCTGTTGGGAAAAGCTTCCGGCTTGAGTCCGTCGATTTCTGTTCCAGCCCTCGGTGACCGCTCCCAGCACGGGATTCCGATTTCAAGTCCGGCTTCTCTGCTTGGGAACGTATAACCAGCGAGATGCTGGATGCTGCATGGTCGCATCAATGCAGCAAACTCCCTCAGTGCTTTCGGAATCCCTACTCAGCCATCATTTGAGGCGAAGGTCTAGGCTCATATAGGCTCATGGCTTGAAGGAAGACTTTACTTCTACCTGCCGGTGTTGCCGAAAGGTCCACGCCGAGGCACCATAGACGAGGAAGGCAGACATCGTCGGCAGCCTGCATTCTGTGATTTCTGTCGTGTGAAAGGCAGAAACCTGCAAGGCCAAGCAGTGCAAGCAGCATTGGCTCGAAGGATGTCTCCGACCCCAAGATGCTGTGCATCGAATCCTCAGGCTCCCCGCTACAGGTACACACAGAGAAGAAGAGTCCGGTTCAGCGAATAAGGGGGACGACTACTGACGAAGCACCGGATCCCATGCTTCGAGCGAAGTCTGGGCGAAGGGCCAGCAGTGATTCGTTCAGGGCCGCGTACACCTGGCGCGGAGCGAGAGCAGGGCCATCTCGCACAAGCAGGGTAGTGCAACAAGGAAGGGGAGGACAAGAAAAGTTGAAATGATCGCAAGACAGGACATGTTCCCAGTGCCTCGGTGCTGGTCTTCAGCGCCTCGGCGATGTGCGGCAGGACGTACTTGAAGGTCTTGTTGGCGGCGCCTCGGTTGTGGGCAGCGCTGACGAGAGAAGGTCCCGAAGTCAGAATTATAAATGTCGTGCCGAAAAATCTCAGCCATGCGCCTTGGATTCCTGGATCTCCGTAGACCTTCGTGGCCTTCCATGTGCCGGAGCGACGGAAACGGACGGGGCAAGACAATTGGGGCATCTGACTTCGATCCGTGCCTTGGAGGCCAGGAAGTACCGAAGCGACGGGTCGCCGTACTCCTGCATCGGCTTACTTCGGTCGTTTGGCTTTGAGCGGCCTCTTGAAAGAGTTCGGGAGAGGAGTGAAAGTGGTCACGTGTATTTCTCTGGCTTACAGCGACCAAAGGATGGAGAGAACACCGAAATAAGAGAACGCAAATGCACGTAAAACCCGACAGAATGCGAGGGAGCTGGCCTGCTGCAGCGTCTCGTGCTTGATCTTCAATGCCTGAATTGCAAGGATGCAGGGTTGCTCCAGTTCTGATACGCAGCAAGCGCGGCACCTCCCTTCCACCGCCGATCCAACTATCTAAGCAGCGACATTGTTCTGCCGGGGTGCTGAGAGCTGCGAAGTGAGGGATGCAATCTCCTGCATGCAAAGTGCAGCTGTTGCACTGCGATTTTCTGAAGCAAATTCCTAATTGTGCAGTCCATTGCCTGCTGTTGCCGCGAAGCCTCTGCAGTGAGCTTCTCCAACCTGATAGAAGGATAGAAGTCCGAGCCATCCATGAATTAACCCAAGCTGGCAGAGCCGCAAGAAGTCCCAACGCACAAACCCTTGCAAAAGGAGTAGCCGAGCAAAGGAGTGCCTCTTCGCCTCCATCTCGGCGTTGCCGGCCGCAGCACTGGGCTGCCTTGGCCAGCGCAAGCCGCGAGCCGAGCGTCACCCGAGCTTCCCGGGCTTCCCGGCTTCTTTGCGACTTCGGCCCGGAGGCTGGCGATGGTGCTCTGCTGTTGGGAGACCTGGGCTCCGGTGCCGTTGCAATGCGTTGCAGGGAGCCGGGACCGCCCTCCCGCTCCCGGCCTGCGCGGTGAGCTCGGCTATCTGCCTGGCCTGCTCGGCATTGAGGTGAGGCTTTTCACTCGTTGGCTTGGCGCAGTGGCTATTCGTGCGGACACAGCGATCCTTCTAGAGACCACGAAGGGTACTACGAAACACCCACTGCAAATTACGACAACGTGAAAACACCGAAAAGTGCACCTTGGCTGAGGCGTCGCGGGCATTGCTTTTGACCTGTCACACACTCAGACCGGAGTCCAAAGTCTGAAACCTGTCCCCTCAGGCGTCGCGAAGAGACAAAAACAGAAGTCTCTTTTTGCCCTGGAGAACGTCAGGAAAAGCAACAAGCAATCAGTGCACAAGCTATCGACCCAAGCAAAGCACTTGCCTCGTCGCTGAGGGTGTTCTTTTCCTGCGTCAGCTGAGCAACCTGCTCCTTCAGCTGTTTCCTGCAAGCGTTCCAGTTTGCAGTCCGGGAAGTCAGATGATAGCTCATGTGGAGGTTTCCATGAGGCGAGCCCTCTATCCCTAAAGACTTCATGTCTGGACTTATCAACCGACGTCCTTTCCATGTGTGAGACTCTGAGGCTGAGAGGTGTCCAACATAGCGACAGCAAGACTACTGGGATCCGGGTGCAGCTGAGCGACACGGCTTGCTGTTTCTTCTTCTTGTCATCCTTGTCCTTCTCCTTAGACAGTGATCGGAATATAGAGCCTGGATCGAACAAGAAACCTTCCGCAAGCTCGAAAATGGTCTGTCCAAGATCCTGCGACCGAACGAAGTCCCATCAAGCTGGGGCCCGTTCAAGATCAGTGTTTTTGTGTGGTCTAACTCTTTTGGGGCTGTGTGAGTTGCGGAATCGCTGGTTTTCGAGACATTCCTCGTTCTCCTTGCAGAGCCCCGCCTTCAGGGCACGCCCGCCGTGCCTCGGATTCAAACAAACGAGGGCGGCCTTTCTAGTGGGCTTCACTGGTTTCGATCATTCGAAGGGCTTCTGGTCTGTGAAACCGACTATTTTTCAGGACCTGAAATGTGCACCGGAGGCACTTGTTCTTGCTGCCAGGACAAAGCTGAACGAGCCCAGAAAAAGCTAAAGACCTTCCAGAAAAGAGAGGCCGGGCCGGGCAGGCCGGGCCTCCGACCTTGAAACTCTTTGGGATCCTTCACCCTGAGTCCCGAAATTGCCAGCCAAATGCCGCAGCTCCGCAACAGCCAACCCCACAAGGAGCCTCAGCTGCATGCGCGGGCGTATGCTCGACAATACGAGCGAGAGCACGAGAGAGCGAGTAAAGCAGAGAGACAGCATGCTTCTCAAAACTAGGCTTTACCCTTGCTGGCTGCCTGTCAAGCGTGCTGACTGTAACATGCTGAATGGCACGTTGGCAGCATTATTTCGTCGAATGTAATGAGGAACGCTAACTAGAGCAGTGAGAGGCAAGGACTCGGCAAAGGCCTTGCGGACTGAGCAACTCAAAATCTTCCCCATGCTTGGTCTCGATTACTTACGAAAACTTGCACTGGGGTGACCGAAATCCGTCCACTCAGCCTGCTTGCAGGCAAGGCACCAAATGACGAGGCAGCGTCCTATCGCGGCCACCATGGCAGCTGCAAAGAGCTGCTGCTATCGAAAACGGCTTCGTCTTCTGATGCAGGGCTCTGTTTATCTCTGGCGAACCAGTCTTAGGATCTCTTGGGGGCGGGCCGGAATGTGGCTGTCGCTGTTTGATCCGGGTCGGGTCTTGGGATGGAAGTGGTCGGGTCAGGTGGGGGCTGCTTGGTGGCCTTGAGCAGTTTGAGCAACAGACTTAGGCCGGCAGAGGCGAGTTTGCACACTCTGAACGCCAGGAGCGCAGCTCCCTGGACTGCAACTCCTAATCTGACAGCCGAGAACTACTGAGCATTTCTTCAAATTGGCCGTGCTGTTGCTAATACCACGTGGTGTTCTCAATATCATGCTCGCATGATCATCCTTTCTGCTGCTGCTGCTGCTGCTGCTGCTGCTCCTCCTCCCACTGCTAATCCCGCCACCTCCTCCGGCTGCTACGACTAGTCTACTGCTACGACTACCACTGCTTCGCATTGAAATACGGATTCTGCTAGTTAGCTAGTTTCTATCATCATGACAAAGGTCAGAAAGCGTCTCGCTATACTGATCTTTCCCAGTATTCGCGTTGCCATTACTGTCGCTCGTTGACTGCAATTGCAAGCTTTAGCGTTGCTGTTGCAACCGCCGACGGTGCCACTTTCCGCAATTACTGTTCATGACGTTCATCATGATGGTGAATGTTGTCAGGCCTCCCCTGCACAGAAGGCCAAAGCCGAGGTTCGCGAGAGCTCAGCGACCTTCACAAACCCCTTGGGTCATGCCATCACGCAGTCAATGCTTTCATCACTCCATGCATGGACACACCACACGCTGCAGAAGCATTGGATCTGATGCACTCAAGGAACAAGTAGAAATACACGGTCTCGCGTTCACTGGTGTCACCACAACCACACCGCCCGAGCTGCAAACTCGTGACTGTGCTCACATTTGCTCAACCCCCTGTCTCGCAGGCTCATGCAGCCGTAAGGGCCAGGCTCCCAGGCTGTCTTCCGGCAAATGATGCCCAAAGGACAAAACCTCTCTGCTGGGGGATCAGGAGGAGGAGACTTTGACAACTGGGCTTGATGCAAGGCGTTTCACATGACATGGGGCAGGCGGGAGTCCGACTCAAGCCTTTTCGCACAGAAGCCGCTGAAGCCCGAGTCGGCATGCGCTTCATGGCCAGGACCCCGTCATGAGACGGATAAAGGCTGGGGGACGGCTGGGGGTTTCAAATCAGCGCCAGTGCTACGGGGGCTGTCGCTTGTCCGTCTGAGCACCCTCCCTGACCCTGAGGCCGTTGTCGCCGCCGAACTCTGACGCCGTTTCTAGTCTTTCGATGCACACTGCAGAGGCCGGAACATGGTGCTCGGGGCTTCTCTGCTCGATCTGCATGTCATTCTTATGTAAGTTGTCGCCCTGTGGATATCAACTTCGCCACTCCCGCCAATCGGACATGTTGATCAGCAGCCGTGCGTCGAAGGCCTGAAGGCTTGCATACGAGGTCAAGACTCTCCTCCAGTAGCAAGCTGCCCCGGCCCTTGACAAATGCTCTCTTGCATAGTCTTGCCCTGCCTTTGCAATCGCATGTGCCTCGCTGTCATGATCGAGAAGCCAGCGAAGTGTATCGGTCAGGTTCTGCGTGGTACATCGATCCCTCGAGATCGGCACAAAATGAACCCATGGCTTGAGATCTTTGTAGAAGAACTCCTCGTACACCGAGTCCTGCTTCAAGACCACAGAGCCCATGAAGAGTAGCTTGAGAAGGCGGTTGCTGGCAGCAGTTCCATCCAGATGCAGCAGGAATTTGTGTGCTGCCTTCAGGGCCAGAGTTGCAGACTTCGGAATTGTGTTGAGCGTGGCACCCGACAAGCATGCTACAGCCCGGAGGGTTCGAAAGCTGAGACCCTCGCATGCTCAGGCAAAGACACCGGCTGCACGTAGGCTTGCTTGGGGTATTTCTCCTGGACGAAGTTCGGCGCTCCCGTAAGGCCTACGTCAAGGAGATGCTGCAGGGCGCCTTTGGCCAGCTCGGCGTACCATCGCCGGTAGGAAAACGATGTCGACAAATCGTGCGAGGCTACGCATGTCTCCGGGGGTCTGCTTGGCAAATGTTCCGTGAAGGCATTGGAAGACGCCCAATCGTGGCCGCGAAAGAAGGCCTTCGGTGAGCGAGTCTTCCACGGATACTTCTCTTCAATCTTCCTCTGCCACTCTAAAGACTCCCAAAGGCCAAAATCCTGCTCGACATCGTGGGAGGAAACTCCACCAGACTCTTCATACCAGGCTTGCCCCGGAACTGGGATGTCCCAGTGGGCTCGAGTGGAGAGCGCCGACAACAAGGGCAATGGCGGGGATCTTGCTTTCTCCAGGTGTGCCTCGTCATGGACTGACAGGACGAAGAAAACATCTGGAAGAAGCCTCTCGTAAAGACGCAGAGAGTGTTCAATCAAACGAAGGGTGGATCTTAGCCATCCTCCCAGATGAACACCAGTTCTTCGAAGGAGCACCCGGCCCTCGATGATAGCAACTTCTGCAAAATAGTACTCCCAACCATACATTCTCTTGACGGATGCTGCAAGTTGGCTGATATTCTCAGAAGTGATAGGCCCATGCCTCGCGAGCGGCAAGAAGCCTTCCCAGATCCCAGCCTGCACCCATGGACATCCGAAGGACGCCGCGGAGAGGTCGCCTAGACCTAGGCCGCTGCCGAGGCCCATGGCACAGGCCTCGAGCCGAAAGCCTGCTCTAGGAACTGCACGCACACACGCACACACACACACACACACACACACCCGCGCACGCGCGCAGATGGCGCAGCCTCAGCCCCTGGCCCACTCCATGTGAGCAGGATAGGACAGGTCATGCCTTGCAGGGGAAGCAAGTTGCGGAGTCTGGCCGACAATCGCTCGCAGCACTTAGCTGCAGGCCTGCGGGTCATCGCCATGCGGATGCCTACCCGCCGGGGCCCGGAGAAGGGAAGGTCCTGCAACACCTCTTGCAGGAACGCGAAAGCAGAGACTTCTTTGCGTTCAAAATCCCTGCAGACTGGGCTCAAGGTAGGCGATTCGGCCTCGGGGAGGAGCCAGACCTCCTTCTTCCGCCGGCGTAGCCTTGAGCCATGTAAGCCAGGGCAATCGCCGAACCTGGCAGAAGGGAAGATTCTCCATCCCACGCCCCCAAACCCTCGGCATCGCCACAGCCACCATCCCCGCCATCACCGCCACCGCCTCTCCGCCACTGCGTCTTCTTTTCCGCCTTCCTCCACTGCTCTGAGGTCGGTGCGCGTTGAGGAAGGCACGCTTCACGGCCAACGCCTGGAAGTGGTGAAAGCGAAGCTGAGAGAAATCCGTGTCCGTGACCTGAGCACGCCGTGTGTGCCTCGCGGCTGCTGAGAGGCGAGAGAACTTTGCTGTCGCCAGGGGTGGCCTCGCTGGGATCACTTCGTGACTAACACCGGTATTACTACCATCACTTCTTGATGCAAAGTATCACTGGATCGCAACTCCTCCAAACTCCAAAATTACTATGCCTTCGCAACCTCGGAGTGTGCTGCCGTTTTCCGGAAGCGGGCCACGAAGAAGCCCTGGCAAGCTGATGTGCGATTGCTGAAGACCTTGTGCCATGACGCCCCAGACCCCAGACACACCCGAAGCTGCCCTACCGAACCTGCAAGTGAAAGATCCGGGAACGGCTTATCAGGCTTCTTGACATTAGACATTCTAGACTTTTGGCGGTTCACCTGCGTATCCGAGAGCTGCGGCCAACATCTCAGGCATCCGTCCACCGTCTGCATGGACTCCGTGCCTGTTGGGCTCCGGATAAACCAACCGCTCTGTTGCAGGCTTCTCGTAATGGTCAGGCAGTACAAGTCTCCTCGCAACACGAAATCTGCATTGCAAACTCCTTCTTTACGGCCCGCAGCAGGGACAAATCGCCGTCTGGAGAAGCAGAAGACTCGGCGCAATTTTTTTAACAATAACGACACTACGAGGGACGGCGATAGCTACAGTGGATTTCATGAAATGTGAGAGAGTCGCGAACACGATGGCGTGGGCCTGGCAGTCCTTCCAGGGGCAGTCGTTCAACGGCTCCCGGAAAGGACTCTTCCAGGAAGTGGCACCTCAGGGGATCTTGAAGCTGAGGAGTCCCAACGTGGCTCACATTTTGTGGCTTTTGGTCGGAAGCGCGCATAGACTTTCTGAGTGCACGGCCCCGCCCAGGGAAGTCAGGTTGCGGCTTTCCCACTCATTCTCTACGCCACAGCACTCTCGAAACCTTTTAGCGTGCTCGCTGACAAACTCAAACCATAGACCGCATACGAAGCCGAGATGACATTTCATGCAGGCGATGGCACACTTCCTCGTTCTCCTTGATGTTCAAGGTGCATGTGCCTGAGAAGATTTGGGTATCGGATGCAGGTTGGTCGGAGCTGCATGCCTCAACACCAGGTCTCTACCACGTCGGGCGACATGCTAGTATCCCCTGTTCTGCTCTCAAGCTTGACGTTCTTCGCCCTGGCAAGTCTTCTTTTACCTGGGCGCTGTAGACCAGCACGCCACCAACACGCAGCGCCTCGGTCAACAGATCTTTACGTCAGGATTCAGGTTGATCCCGGCCGAAGACCGAAGCCTCGAAGAAGCATCCCCAGCAATAAGTGCGTCCATCTTGAGGCTACGCTAACATGTGCCTTTATTCGTTGCCCGATTTGCTTTCGATGCGCCAGGCAATTGTCGTCACGAAAATCCATCGAGTTTAGGGAGGGTTGACTGCCCCCCAGCTACATTATTGCTCCAACTCTTCCATGGCATGCTGTCGGTTTTGCAACGAGCCCTTCTGCATCGTGGCAGCTGGAAGAACCACTTTTGGAAGGCTCATTCCAGGACATGGCAACGTGGGACCTCTTGAAGCGTCCTGCCTGCAACATACTGCTGTGGCGCCTGGAAGGCAGACGAGATGAGCTGTCGTTGGAGCTTGGACCTCACGAGATCCCGCAGCGAGGTGTCTGCTGACAGGCTGCGGGCTCGTGATATCGAAGACAATTGGTGCCCAGAGAAACATGCAATGGTCCTCCTAACCCTGTAGAGCTCAACTTCTCCTTCTGTCTGGCGAGGGACAGTCCTTCTATGTACGCCGGAGACTGATCCAATGACGAAGCAAAGTCTTCACCTCGGACTTCCAGCTCTTTCGAAGCACAGACATCTTCGGTGCTGTACACAGTGCCCGGGACGTAGCTCACGGACTCTGAACTCATCATTGCCATGCGATAGACGATTGGGGCATGCCGGGGACGAAAAAAATAACAGGCCACCTCGTCTGGTGAGCGACTCCCCCGAGCAGGGCGCATCAAGGAGGACCTAGGACAAAATGGAGGTCGGGCTGAAGCTCGCGGCAGCTTTCGCATCCAGGAATTCAGGTGCGGTTTCGGTTTGGTGTTTCAGGTGCCGCACCACAAACCGCTGAGACTGTAACCCTTAACTAAGCCCGAAACCCCGGAGCCTCCAAAGCCACAACAGCCTCAGCCTTGTGGCTGCAAACCGGGCCACGGCATCAAAGGCCTCGGGCCAAGCCTTGCCGCAGCTGCGCCCGTCCATCTGGGTGACGGCCGCCTGGGTTTTGCGGCAATCTATCACTCCCGGCGGCACTGTCGAAGCAGCTTCAACGTCAACATCCTCCGCATCATCATCATCATCATCATCATCATCATCTGTGTTGGCAACAGTATCACCGCCTGCCCCGTCTGAGCATGTAAAGGCATCGCTAGTTGCAGAAACTGGGTGCAAGCTTCGGAAGGCATGGGCTCGGAGCCGACTTCTTTGCAGAGCCTTCTGAGCTTCAAGTCCACAAGCTTCACCTTCTTCTCAGAAACCGGTGGATGCCCAATGAAGAACCTCTACAACCCAAAAGGCAGGCTTAGCAGCCCAGGGCATCGAACCGGTGCGGAGGAGGTTCTCCACTAGGGCCTCACAGGTGAGTGTCTGTGTCGGTGCTGTGTTTGTGTGGACGAGCAATCTCAGGCCTTGCAGCGGTCGATGTTGGGCTCGTTAGCCACCACTGCGCCGCTGCTCGGTGCTAGCCAGGCGGCTATAGCCTCATTGAGCTTTGGCGCTCGAAGCATGTGCTTCAGACGCTTGTTTGATTTTGGATGTTCTCTTCAATGGCAACTGACATTTTTTCGTTTGCGGAGTCATGGAAAGACAAAGGACCAGCAACGGGCGCAATGCGACTCATTTCTCGGATGATAGGTAACTGCCCGCTTAGGACAGGCCTGATGTTCACTTCAACCTGGTTGTCTAGTTGTCCTCATTGGGAATTGGGGCTTGCAGTGCTTGATTCTCACCAGACGGCTCTTGCCGCTACCAGCGGCTTGGGGGGTCTTCTCTTGATTCTGAACCCCTATGCGTCAGAATTGTCTCAATCTCACTTCCGTCGATCTCTGCGCCCCAACTGCCACTCCCCAAGAAGGCTCAATCATATTCAGGACCATCCTACTCCTCAGCATCATCACACCAATGTGCGTTTTGCTGTGCATGCATGTGTATGTGTGTGTGTGCGTAGGTATACATGTATGTATGTGCGTGTGCATATATGTATGTATGTATGT